TTAGCTTTAAAATTTACATTTTAAAGTTGCATGTTCAGTATGTTAAGTGAATTTATTTGCTTTTCAGCACGAAAACACCCCCCCCCCACAAACACACACACACACACAATCCCTTACTGGTGTCATGGGGATCTGTAAGAGCCCGAATGTTGGGCCCTACAAGAGTATGGTAGATGGCGAGCTTAGGGTTTAAGATAGACAACCAAGATATTTTGTCTCCATTTAATGTGTAGTAATGTTGGAGTGTGGCTTCTCCTTGAAGCGAGGTATTGCTCCTTGGCTCCCCGGAAGGAGTCTGTCTCATATCCTAAACAGTGGTCTAAAGATAACGTTGTTAGCTTGTGACGACTGGTGACGAACAAGCAAGCGTTACATAAATACATAGCTCTTGCGGGAGGGATAGCCATCACAACACTGTCTAGTGTGGTAAGCAGGTTGAAACAATGGTCTGGCGTATACGCAAATGTATATGTATGTGTGAAGATGCATATGTGGCAACATGTAAGGTCATATAAATATGTAGAATATAGTAACTGGACATAGATATAGCTGGGTTAAAGGGTCTTAGGGTGCGGTCACACAAACCATGCTTAACCAAATGCCCACGGTTAACCTCAGTTATGCGCAATAGAGGTAGATATTGAACGCCTTGGATTCCTTACATCTTTAAGAATAGGCCTTCTTATTTTCTCTAGCAAATCAGTAATTACACTGCTAGTCCACTCTATCGTTTTGAGGATTTACAATGAATTTTATATATAGAAATGCTGTTTTACACTATAATATAATATAATCGCCTATGGCTGAGTGGCCGAGGGAAATTGCAAGTGATCGTTCCTTGCCTGGGCAGTCTCGCCGAGGGTAAACTGCTCAGCCTTGGGCAAAAAAACTGAGGTTAACCATGGGCCCCGGATTAAGCATGGCCAGTGTGCCCGCGCATTTAGGAGACAGAAACTGAGGCCCAATGTAGAGGATTACCCCAACGATGGACCTTAGCCCTCGACGCAACTAATTTTGCACAGCCTTTTCTTTTCCATCTTTCCATTTCCCTTTCTTCCATAACTTCTACCCCAGTCCAATTCCTAAGGTGCGAAAGTCGTGTTCAAAGGATGATTTAAGTGCCAGTCATGAATGGCCGCAGGGATCCATGGGCACGGTATTTCCTTGGTTAATTGTTTAGCCCTTACCGCTCATGGGGACCCTGAGGGGTGGACCTTTTTATTTTTCCCACGTATTTCAGGCTTACCATGACCAGTAATGAAGATTTTGTAGCCCTTATAAGGGGATCTGAGGCTTGCCCCTTTATCAACTAACGTCCCTGAATCTAACTCATTTGGTCAGTTTACTCTCCTTTCATCATGGCTCCGACCACTGCTATTACGCACTCCTTGACACTTGCTGTCAACTTAACCCATCCGGAATCATGTACCAGGTAATGACTCCTCAACTCCGATATCCTTGACCCAATCTACACATTCATCTCCATTTCCTATATCTTCCTCCCACTTTACATTTCTTCTACGTTGTTGCCCTCTCCACAACACTACTTCACTCCACACTACTCGCTCTTCCTCTCGTCCTCACCGCTTTACAGTTCCCACATCTGCAACCCTTTTTAGTACCATGTTTACCGCAGTGCTCTGACAATATCCTGCTTTTCCAGCATTGCATCCTAAAACAAGTAGGCAGTCTCATTCCACAACCAGTTATGCCTTGTTAGTTACATTTGAGTTCCAAGTCCCAAGTACGTAACCTTCCTGGATACACACGTGAATCTCTTTTGTCACAATGCCCTTCCCTGATGAACTTAAAAATACTCCACTTCCTGATTCCTTACCTCAATCCCCAGGTATGGCTCCTACTTCTCAGACAACCATCTCTACCTTTATCACCCTTCGATTGCTCCACAATGGCTATAGTGGAACATCTGAGGCTTTCGTTCTCAAACCTGATTTTCGTCAGCTCACATCTTCCTACAATCCATCCATTATCTGTCGCAAATGAACCTAACACATTCTCCAATACCGATTCCAAATTACAATTTTGAATCCCCACACATTCTCTATATCTCCTCTATACTCGTCCATCTAAATACACCATACATTGTACATCTTTTTTAAACTACTGTCCCTTGCACTATCACTCGCAACCACCATTCCTCATACTCGGTGATTTCAACTGCTACCACACACTTTAGGGTGACTCTACCTCTACTTCTCGTGACCTTCCCTGGAACGCTTTCTTTCTAACACTGGGCTTTTAGACTGTCCCATTCACCTTGATATATCCACCCAACCTTTTCATGCCTTGACCTTTCACTTTTCTCTCCTTCCCATCTAGACTTTCACTGGGCAGTCTTGGACCTCTCTTCTCTCCCTCTTTCTTCATCATCCTTTTCTTCCACGTCAGATATGCTTTCTTATTTCACAGTCATTGCCCTGAGTGCTACCTGCACAGCCATTCCACAAACTTCCCGGGCATACACATCTAAATGTGTTCCATGGTGGAACACTGAATGCTTAGCTCAACTACGTTGTATTAAAAACAGCTGGCAAAATTGTGTCTCCAAAATCACCTCAACAACTGTCTATACAGTATGGCGTTTAATCCATAAATCATCAGAGAAACATCTCCCTCATCCTGTCTCAGTTTTCCATATTCATAGCACTCGCATCTCTGAACATTTACAAGTTGCTACTGAACTCCTCACTTCAATATCATTAAAACAGCCAAGACTACAATTCCCATCTCCCCTTTATTCTCTACAGAGCCCTCCAATGTCCCTTCTCCTCTACTGAACGTCTCTCTGGCCGCACACAACACAACAGTAGCACATTTTGAAAATTGTATCTCGTCTGCCTCTGAACACCATAACTCAGTACTAGCCGGTTTCTTTGATCTGGAAAAAAGGCATATGATGTCAAGGTTTTGTGATTTGGTGGGTTCATGGCGAGACAATTCTGGTTCAGCTGTTTATTGATAGGAGGGTAGGTAGCGTGGCGCAGGGTGTCTCGTTCTGGTGCAAAGGGCGGGGCGCGCGTGGGGAGACCCCAGGGAGGAGGTCTGGACAGGACCGTGGGCCCTGGTCGAATGTGCTGGGTCAACTGTCCTGTAGGTTTCGAGCGCTGGTCGCGGGTCCCTAGCAGTAGAGACGCGGAAAGGTAATACTTGTTCCTCAGATCGCTCGGCATACGCTACTAACCGTCGCCCCCGACGGGATGGAGCTGGCTTTCTCTGAAAAAAGCACACCAGAGGAAGAGGCAGGAGGGCAAACGGGGTGTGATAGCAAGGGCCGTAACATGTAATCAAAATATATCACATTGCAATGAGTCAATTATTTGCATGATTTTTCAATTTTTATTTATTTTTTTCAATAATGCACTGTCCAAGGATAGACAGAGGAACATGCTTAGGGAGACAATTGTAATAGTCCGCGAGGACTTACTTTGGTTGCAATTGCCTCAGCAGATGAAATTCTATAAGAGATAAGCATTGTGCAGAACTATAAGGAAGCAAAGGGTGTCGCAGTCCGCAAGGACTTGTCTTGAACGACGTACTTCCTTGGAAAAAGAATGAAAATGCAACAATACAGAGTTCAGAAGTGTGCAGTGCAATAGTGCATACGGTATACGTCTGACTAATAGTAAATATATCTCATTTCAAGAAAGTTGTCTATCACACGTCACCAACAGCAGTTTGAGGCAAAGCAATAATGAAAACAGGTAATGCAGTCCTCATACTTCGGGAGCGACTCATAACATCAAAATATACTTTCTCAAGACAACATTTGCACGATAATACGTAATGCAAGACGGGTTTCTGTGGGGCGATGTGCGCATGTGGCTGCGTGAGTGGTGAGTAGACGAGTCGAGTTAATAGGTGTGAGTTATGAAATGAGTGAGTCAGAGTATAGCACATAAGTAGAAAATAGAATGCTGATAGATATTCTTTAGTTTTAGAGTCATTGGTAATTTGTTAAAGTAAGAGCGAGAGTGAGTAAAAAGGAATAGGATGGAAGAAATAAGCGAAGGGGAGGAGGAGTGGGTGGGCGGGAGAGTAAGGTAAAAGAGGTATGGGTAAGGATGGGGGGGTCAGGTATGTAGACATGGGTGGCAATGTGGATTGCACGCAATGAAAACAACGATCTGACCGCACGAAAAAAACACTCACACTAATGATGATGAACTTACGTTAATTGCAATATTAATCAACTACTATGCGAAATCATACAAAATTAGTACGTAAAATGAATGAAACGGTGACTGGTTCGGGTCAGCTTCCCTGAGACAACTGACAGCCGAATGACAACCCTCGTGGTTGTAAATGATACTTAAAATAAATTCCCTGAGGAAGGTGATGACGTGATGACCCAACCGTAGAAGGGACACATCATCCAGCTCATACCAGAACGCAATTGGGTACCCTTCTTCTTGGGGAATACCAGCGATAATCTCACGTATAGCGATAAGAAGGCGCGTGGCGCTGAGATCGCCTGGGCGATAGGTGTGCGACTCGGCACATGAGAACAACTTAACATTATAATTACCTAAACCTAATTACATGTCCATACCCAACTGTGAGTCGTCACCAAGGACCATGTAATAATAATGAGGTGAGGTTCGTGATTAAGATAAACGAAAATCACGAACAATATGAAATCGTAGTAGCTGTATAATATAATTAATCTTTAACACGGAGATCATTGAATAAGATATAAATACAAATAGCTTGAATGTATTTTTGGGTCGAACAGAATCAGATGGCTATAAGTACCTTCTACCTGAGTAAGGTCAAATGAGGTCGTTATTAGAACATTCGC